CGTTTTATTTATTTATTTTTTAATGGGTGTAGCTGAAGTTATGGTGAATAAGATTAAAAAACTGCAAGCCCAGCACAGTGGCCTAGTAGCTAAAGTCCTCGCCTTGAACGTGCCAGGATCCCATATGGGCGCCGGTTCTAATCCCAGCAACCCTGCTTCCCATCCAGCTCCCTGCTTGTGGCCTGGGAAAGCAGTCAAGGATGGTCCAAGCCTTGGGACCCTGAACCCACATGGAAAACCTGGAGGAAGAGGCTCCTGGTTCCAGGCTCCTGGCTTCTGGCTTCGGATTGGCTCAACTCTGGCCACTATGGCTACTTGGGAAGTGAATCAGTAGACAGACATCTTCCCCTCTGTCCCTCTGTATATCTGCCTTTCCAATAAAAATAAACAAAACGCTTAGCATTGCTATGAAAATCACAGGTTTGTCACGCTACTGGCTCAATCAGTGACAGAGTTAACGAACATTTTTGGAAGTTCAGAATAGTTCAGCAGGACCAGAATTGTAGCTTAGGGGTGAAGTGCTGCCTATGATGATGCCAGCATCACATATATGTGTCCGTTCAGTTACAGATGCTCTGCCTCCAACCCAGCTCCCTGCTGATGGCGGGAACACAGGAGAATACGGCCTAAATGCCTGCGCCTCTGCACCCACGTGGGAGACCTAAAAGAAACTCCTGGCCTCTGCTTTGTTGCAGCCATTCAGGGAGTGAACCAGCAGATGAAAGACCTCTCTGTCTCTCCCTCTCTCTTTCTGTAGCTCTGCCTCTCAAATGAATAAGTAAAATCTTTAAAATTTTTTGTCCCAAAATAAAATAATATTAATTCTGTTTTTTTTTTTCCCCCACAAGCTTGTTAAGTTGCTTTGTATTTGAGGAGGGGAAGAGTGTTACATTTTTGAAATTAAGGTATTTTTAAAAAATATTTTGTTTTTGTTGGAAAGGTCAGATTTACACAGAGGAGAGACGAAGCCAAAGTTCTTCCGTCTGCTGGTTCACTCTCCAAGTGGCCACAATGGCCACAGCTGAGCAGATCCAAGAGTGAGGAGCTAAGAGGTTCTTCCAGATCTCCCACGTGGGTGCAGGGGCCCAAGGCTTTTGGCCATCCTGCTCTGCATTCTCAGGTCACAAACAGGGAGCTGGATGGGAAGTGGAGCAGCCAGGACATGAAACAGCGCCTACACAGGACCTGAGTGCCTAAAGGTAGAGGTTTAGCCATTTGAGCCATTGTGTCAGGCCCCAATTCTACTTTTTAAAAAGGATTTATCTATTTACTTGAAGAACAAAGTTGCAGATAGAGAGAAACAGATACAGAGAGAGCTCTTCCATCCATTGATTTACTCCACAGATGGCCACAAGAGCCAGAGCTGAGCCAGTCTGAGGCCAGGAGTCAGGAGTTCCATCTAGGACTCTTATATGGGCTGCAGGGGTCCAAGCACTTAGGCCATCTTCTGCTGCTTTTCCAGGCTATTAGTAGGAAACTGAATTGGAAATGGAGCAGCTGAGATGCAAACCAGCACCCATTTGCATGCCAGCATAATCATCAGAGATGATGGTTTAACCCACTACACCACAATTCTAGCTCTAAGCACTTTAAAAATATATATACAATTTATTTATTTGAAAGGCAGAGAGGCAGAAAGAAGAGGGAAGACATCTTCCATTTCCAATTTATTTCCCATGTGTCCACAACACCCAGGGGAACACCTTATTAGGGGAAGGAGGAGCCCCTAAAGGAGGAGTCCCTCCTAATGGGGACTGTGTGGCCCTGCAAGGAGCTGGAGCAGTGGCAAGAGATGGCACTTCTCTTGGATGCTCAGGTCTTGTTTATCTGCTTGGCTGACATGTACTGAATTTCTTGCTGACCGACCCACCTGACACCAGCAAGGCTCTGGAGACAGAGTTCTGGGGCTCTTCCTCCTCTTTGGGGACCAGGCAAGTGTGATCACGAGCAGTGGTACAGAACTCAGGACCTGGAAAACTGTCCCTCCAACACCACTACCTGTGTGCTGGGCCTGCCTCACTTTCCACCCCCAAACCTGAGCAGCTGGGCTGGACCAGTACAGCTCTTGTCTCCTTGTCTAAGATGATGCTTATCGCAAAGCTTGGAGCTCTCTTTCCTCCTCAGGAAAACATCCTAAAACCCTGGCTCCTGCCCACAAGCCCAGGGTAGCCATCAGGAGGATGTGCTAACCAAATGGTGGAAGATTCCTGGAGACCATGATGGGGCACCTCTGTTGTTCCCAACAACCATTTATTTACATGCAAGGCAGAGCAGTGCAGAGAGGGAGGGTGACGGCGAGAGAGAGAGATACAGAGATCTTCCATGCACTTGTTCACTCTCCAAATATCTGCAACAATCAGGGCTGGGCTGCAGTTAGTAACTCCATCCTTGTCTCCCACATCAGTGACAGGAACCCAAGTGCCCAGACCATCAGCCCCTGCTTTGTCAAGCACATTAGCAGGAAGTTGGATGGGAAGCAAAGCAGGAGGCCTAGGGGGTCCTGAGGTCACAGATGAATCCAGCCCCTCCATTTTCTATTTTGATTGTGCTTACTTTTATCTAGCTGGAAGGCAGGAAGAAACAAAGACATACAGAGATCGTTTCTCTTTTCAGTCACTCCTCAACTGTCTACACACCTGGGTGAGCAGGGCAAAGCTGGGAGCCTGGCACTCCACTGGGGTCTCCCAACATGGGTGGCAGAAACTCAAGGACTTGAGCAGGTACTTTCTGCACCCCAGGATGCACATAAGTGGGAAGCTGCATGGGAAACAGAACAGAGAACAACCAGGACTGAAAGCCCAGCACTCTTTTTATTTTTTTTAAGATTTATTTATTTTTATTGCAAAGTCAGACATACGGAGAGAAGGAGAGACAGAGGAAGATCTCCCATCCTATGATTCACTCCCCAAGTGACCACAATGGCTGGAGCTGTGTTGATCTGAAGCTAGGAGCCAGGAGCTCTTCCGAGTCTCCCACATTGGTACAGAATGTCAAGGCCTTGAGCCATCCTCAATTGCTTTCCCAAGTCACAAGCAGGGAGCTGGATGGGAACTGGAGCTGCTGGGTTTAGAACTGGTGCTCATATGGGATTCCAGCACTTTCAAAGTGAGGACTTTAGCTGCTAGGCCACTGCACTAGGCCCAAGCCCAGCACTCTTGGTGGCCAAAACAATTAGTCTCTTTCTTTTTTTTTTTAAAGATTTAATTATTTTTGGGCCTGGCGGTGTGGCCTAGCAGCTAAAGTCCCCGCCTTCAACGCGCCAGGATCCCATATGGGCGCCGGTTCTAATCCCGGCAGCTCCACTTCCAATCCAGCTCCCTGCTTGTGGCCTGGGAAAGGAGTTGAGGACAGCCCAAAGCCTTGGGATCCTGCACCCGTGTGGGAGACCCGGAAGAAGTTCCTGGATCCTGGCTTTGGATCGGCATAGCATCGGCCGTTGCGCTCACTTGGGGAGTGAATCATCGGACGGAAGATCTTTCTCTCTGTCTCTCCTCCTCTCTGTATATCTGACTTTCCAATAAATAAATCTTAAAAAAAATTTAATTATTTTTGTTAGCAAGACACACACACACATATGTATGTATATGTATATATGTTACCTCAGTAGTCTTCCTAGTTCAGAATGTACTGTTTTTGTGTTTTGGTTTTTGTTTGTTTTTTGAAAGGCAGTTCAGATTTGCAGACAGAAGGAAGGACAGAGAGAAATATCTTCCACCCACTGGTTCACTCGCCAAATAGCTACAAATGGCCGGAGCTGAGCCTATCCAAAGCTAAGAGCCAGGAGCTTCTTCCAGGTCTCTCACATGGGTGCAGTGTCCCAAGGGTTTGGGCCATCTTGTCCTGCTTTTTCCTAGGCCACAAGCAGGGAGCTGGTTGAGAATTGGAGCCGCTAAAATATGAACTGGCACCCATATGAAAAGTTGATGCGTGCAACGGACGATTAGCTTGTTGAGCCGTTGCGCCAGGGCCCCCCCAGTCAGTCTTAGCCATTGCAATGAATTCCCATTGCACCATCCATTCTCAAGTCTACCTCTAGCCTAAGTTTATTCATTTTGTGGAACAAAAAGGCCTTCAGTTCTACCAGACAGGTGGATCTTCTAAGCCATCAGACTCCCTGAGGAAGATGCAGGTCCCTGCAGTCCCTCAGCCCCCAACCCCATCACCCCAGTACATTTGGTCAGAATCTCTGCTAGTGCCCAGGGACCTGTTTCAAGCAGGGCCCCAAGCTAGCTGACTCTACACTTAAGTAGCTGAAGCACTGTTTTACAGCCTTGAGCAAACAAGCCCTGCCTGGGAGCAGGAAAACAGGGAGGATAAGAACCAGCAAAGGCAAGGCCGAGCCGAGGGCTGTGGGTGGACCTGACTGGAAACTGAGACAGGGACCTGGCCAGGGTGGGGAAACGGGGGCCTGCAGGTGCTGGAGTCTAGGGCAATAGGGGCTGCTGGGGAAAAAAGCCCACAGGGCATACGTGGTGCATGTAGCATGTGTTGTTGCAGTCTTGCACCTGCCTGGACAACACCCTTTTTCTCAGTGGCAGGTGATGTCCTGTCTGTACCTTAGCTGCCAGGTCCAGGTCAGTTGAGCCAGATCTTTTGCACCTGGAGACATTTTTGTGTCCATGACCCCTGAACAAATGGAATGTAACTTTTCTCCTGGGAAACACCTCCCCCTCTGCAGTGCTTTTCATGATGGCAGGCTCAAGCAGGGGTGGGGGCAGGGGGAGGCTTGTACCTGGGCAACAAGGTGAACACTCCCTGCTGAACCTGGCTCGGCGGGAGGTCTGACTCACCCCTTCAGGTGCTTTCCAGCACGTTCTTGGTGATTGCCCTCAGCACCAGGGAGCAGGGCTTCCTGGCACAGGAGCACAGTCCACATCTTTCGTCCTGGGCTGGCAGGGAGCCCCGGAAAGAGAAGGTAGGAACTCACAGGTGAACCCCAGCTGCCTTTTACCAGTACCCACACCCCTCCCCTTTTCAGGGCACTGATGGAAGACTGCCAATCGTTTAACAAACATGTTTATTAGAAAAGTAAAAAATATTGCATAGGTCTTAATACTTGAACATCAAGTGTATTCATAACAGTGAGTATCTTCACGTAGACAGTTCTAGATGGAAGACCTGGAGGGGGGCATTCCAGTGGGCAAGGGTTCCAGCCCCCGCTCCCACCCAGCCCGGTCCCCTCCCAGCTCAGCTCTTCTGTACAAGGTCGGTGGGGGACAGGCAGAACGCAGCTCCCAGGAGTATATATAGATTTTTTTTTCTATGGCAACACCCACACTACTCTTACATTCACACGTCTGTAAGATAGCTGCCCGGAACAGGTCAGTAGTGGAGCTCCGATCAGACAGAACAAAAACCAACGACAGACACACTCTGTGGGGTCCCCTCAGACCAGGAGAAAACACAAACTGGCTGGCTCCCCGTCCCTCGGCGGGCCCCAGTCAGCACCCATACACGCACACGCCTCCCCCACCCCTTCGCAGAGGCCAGCCAGCAGCCCAGCTGCCCTCCTCCCCCCGCCCCCCGCTCTGTCACACCACTGTCACCGTCACTGTCAGTAATAAGAGAAAATAACACGGTACATGCTACATACACAATCCAGCCGGAAGCCCGGGTGGCCCCCTCCGCCTTTGTTTCATGCTTACAGTACTGAGGGGCGCGCGCCCCCACCCGGGAGCCGCGGGTAAACAACGGCGAGCTGCCCCGGAGAAGGGCTCGGTCCCCGCGGCCACCGCCTCCCCGCGGCCACCGCCTCCCCGCGGCCACCGCCGCCGTCCTGTCCTCGGGGTCCGGGCCCGAGGCAGACCCCCCTCAAGTCTCAGTCCTCTCAGCCTGCCCCACCCCTCCGGGGGGCAGGGGCCAAGGAGCTCAACACTCCTCGATGAGCAGCTGCTCCGAGCTGTAGAGCTTCTTCTTGATGACCCGGAAGCCCGTGCTCAGCGTCAGGGACTGGCTGAAGCCGGGGACGAAGGGAGCGTTGGCCGAGCTGAACAGCCCCTGGATCTTGGGCCAGAGGCGCGAGTCCAGGCGCAGCACCAGGGTCAACTGGAAGGTGGGCACCAGGCTGGGGTCCAGGGCCAGCTGGCCCACGCTGTGACAGGTCTTGCCCTGCTCCACGCACACGTCCAGCAGCGCCCCCCGCAGCCCGCACGGCTCGCTGTAGGCCAGGCGCAGCAGCTCCTTGCCCACCTGGCTCACCAGCTGGCCGGGCATCAGCAGGCGCGCGGGCCGCCGCGAGCCCAGCCGCGCCTGGGACAGGCTCTCCTGCAGCAGCTGCATCAGGCTGGCGCACAGGTGCTCATCCTCGGGGTCGCTGAGCAGCTCCAAGTCGGGCAGGGACTCGCCATCCAGGTAGGCCGAGTCTGTTGGGGAAGAGCACGCAGGGGGAGGGGAGGCTTAGAGCGGCTTCCACGCGAGACCGACAGGCGGGGGTGGGGGCGGCGTTGTTCTACTAAGACGCCAGCTCGCCGCCCCTCAACGCCCGCTCCGGGCTCGGACCCCGCACCCCGGCCAAAGCCGGGTTCCCAATGGGATAGGACTTAACCCCGGTGGGTGGCTTCAACATCTCTCCCCAGATCCCTTCTTCCCCACCTCCCCGGTTCCTCACTCACCTTCCTCAGGCCCGCAACCACTGTTGCTGCTGTCCAGGGACTCGCAGTCCGAACTCTCGAGGCTGGCACAGCGGTCCAGCCCGTCCTCTCGGGCCGCCGACCCCCAGGCTGAGCGCGGCGGCCGGCCCGGGGTGGGAGTTCCGGACGACGACGAAGGCGAGGAGGAGGACGAGGAAGAGAAACGGTCCCACAAACTGGGCATGGTGAGATCGGACGCCAGGACGTCTGCTTGGTCAGCTCGGGGTGCGAGAGAGCAGAAGCCGCTGCAGAATAAGAAGGGGGGGACCGAGCGTCAGCCTCGGAGAGGAGGAGGGGGCGGGATGTGGCTCAGCCTGCGAGCGCTGGGACCCCGCGCACCCCCAGAAATCTCGCCGCCCGACACACTCAACCCCATACACACAAAGGACGCTCACCAGCTAGGGCGGTCAGACAGAAGGATGCAGAGAAGGACGACCTCAAGTCCGGCCGCTTGAATGAGTGGCCCTGGTGCTGTGTCCCCCCGAGCGCTGCCCAGACCTGTCCCTCCTGACCGCCCGCACCTCCCCCTAAGCTCTCAGCCTAGCACCAGCGCGGAGCAGCCTATAAGCCCTAGCGCGGCGAGGCCACACCCCGCTCCGCGCCGCAGCCCAATCCCGACCCGGGAGTGTGGCCCCCCTCGACCAATGGGTGCCCGGCGCACGTTCGCAACGTTCTCTCCTGCCCGGTGACAGCGGCCCGGCCCCGCCCCCTGCCCGCCGAGGGGCCCCCTCTCCCTGACCCCCGAGCCGCGGCCACGCCTCCTTTCTGGAAGGGATCCGCGGCGGCTGCAGCTGCCAAGGTCCCCGAGGGCGCTCGCGGCAGGGGAGGATCAAGGAAAGACTTGTTTATTATAGGGTCGTGTTGCTGGGGGAGGGGATGAGGGCCGGTGACCGGGCTAGTGGGGGAAGAGGAAAGGCAGGGCAACTTGGTGGTGCTTAAGGGGGCGGCACGTAGAGGCCCCAAGTGACAGCCCCCATCCCCCCAGCGCTGGCGAGCTGCGGGCGCTGCTGTGCGCTCCGAGGATGCCCGTGGGTCGCTCGGAGGACGCACGTTATCCCGGTCGGCCCTCGCGCACGTACCCCACGCCATCCCTGTCCTGCCCCTGGTCGAGAAATTGGGGGGGGGACCCCAAACACGGGGCCGCCCCGTGCACTTGCGTCCCCCGGCTTCCTCGCAGTCCCACCTGCCCGCCCATCCAGGGGGACAGGTGAAGTAGTGATCCCTGTTCTCCACCGCCCCCACCCCATTCCAAACAGCCTGGACCCCAAATCCTATCTGCTCCCACCGCCACCTGCTTCCCGGGGAGGGGCTTGAGGACTGTGATGGACGGGCTCCCTGGCTCCGAGCGCCTGGGCCCCAGGCTGAGAACGGGGGACCCGAGTCGGGTCCGGGAGGCGCGGGATGCCAACTCCGCGGGCTGCGGCCGGGATCCCCGGGCCTTAGCGCCCTCCGGCTGCAGCGCTTTGTGTGAAAGACTCGGAGCGCTGTCCGAGCCCCCGAGCGCCGGGCTCTGGAGGAGCAGCGCGGCATGCAATGGCCAGCTCCGGTTTCATCATTCGGGCGAGGCCGCGGGAACGCGGGCCTGGCAGCTGTGCTTGCGGGCTGATAGTGGCTGCTCCTAGTGGGCGGGACGAGGTTCGGATGCACTCGACCTTTCTGTAAACGTCTATCAGTCTGGGACGCGGGGACACTGTTGGAAGCAGGAATCAAACTTACATCAGCGGTTCCGGCCCCGGTGGGCAGGAACCGAATCTGATCTGGCAGGCGCAGGGGCTCGCCTCTGGGCAGGTCTGCATCTGCACGTGACCAGGGGACACTGGCCTGGGGTGTAGGGCCACTGCCTAAGCCGGTCCCCCACTTCCATCCCCATATTGAAAATAAAGCCGGACACCCCTCTCAGCCTGCCCCCTAGCCAAACCTAGACCAGAGTCCAAGCCCTGGGCCTCCCTCCCTTCAGGCTGGGGCGGGGGTGGGGGGGCGCTGAGTAAATGAGGTCCTCTTGAAATCACCCTGTATTGGGGGGAGACTGAGAATGGCTTGTCCCTGTGCCCTCCTAATTGCTCAAGAGAGAAGATACGGGAATGAATCCCTCCGGAGACAGGGTTCCTGCTGGCTGGCCTACAGACTGGTATTCTTTTACCTTTTTTTTAAACAGAAAAAAGGAAAAAACATTTTTTTTCTCATAAAAATGTGGGGCATTAACAATAAAGGTGTGTGTGCAGAAGAGTGTGGAGCCAGGTTCGAAATGTGAACTTGTTAGGAATCCTGCATTCATTTGACAAACATCTTGGCAACCTACCGGCCAAGACCTCCCCTCTCCCTTTTTTCATTCATTGTTTCATTCTGTTGCTGAAAGAGCCTCTCCCAAACCGGAAAGGCTGTGCAGGGCTGTGCGGATGGGCCCTAGGCAATTTTGTTTCTTTTTGCAGAAGATACCCATTTACCTTGTCTCATTCTGTTTTCTTGAAACTAATTAAAGATGCTCAGTGCTGGGCCGGAGGTGTTTCTCAGAGCAGGGGTCCGTTTGTGGGGAAAGCAGCCTGGAGCATGGAGGCGGGGAGGGTGGGGGAGTCAAGGCCTGGAGGAAGCAGGACTAGGCTGCATCATTATCTACCAGAGGACAACTCCACTCTTGCAGCCTGCAGGGAAGCGGGGAACACTGAACCTTTAGTCCCCTATGGAGTCTGTGTGGTGGTGAGGCCCCTCTGCCCAGAGGCTTTGCTCAGGAGGAGAAGCCCCATTTCCTGCCCTCTGAGCCTGGCCTCTCCAGACCCCCACGGGGGCCCTGTGTACAGGCCATGGCTGCCCGCAGCTGGTGCTTGCCTGGACATGTTTCCACTGACACAGCCTTGGAGACCCAAGGCTGGCATCGGTCCTTGGAAGAGGCTTTCTCAGCCCCTGCTTGCATCCTCCCTGTGATGCAAGGCTGTCACCTGTAATTGCTTCTTCTTGGGTAGGCAGGGCACTGTAGTTGAGGGTGTGGGGAATGGGGTCTGTCCATGTGAACCTCCAATAGGCAGGTTACCCCCTCCCACCAACCCAGGTCAGACACAGGGCAGAAGCTGGGGACTGTTTGCCGATGGATGGATGGATGGATGGATGGATGGACACATGCATAACTAAAGGAAGCTAAAAGGTGGCTTCCCTCAGAACTAGGCACCCCTACATCTGGGTTCCCAGGCCCTGCAGGCTCCCCTTCCATTCTGGCCAGTGCTGTTAAGGACCTTGGACAAGTCTGAACATCTCCCTGCCTCCCTCAGTGGGGGTCTGGGAGCCCGGCTTCTGAAACAATCCAGTGTTCTAGGCTGAAATGTAGTTGGCCACCCCAGGAAGCTGGGGCGAGGTGACACAGTGCAGAGGGCTAGCATGTAAGGCAGACACTACTTTCCATTACATTACATACCTTAAAACAAAAACAAAACAAGAATAAGTAGGTAGAATTCTTAGGTAAAATTCAGCATCTCACACCTCCCTCGTCTAGTTTAAAAAATCCTCTTGATCACTCCAGAGTGGATCCTGTAAAAGCTCCCAAGCAAGTTTATCTTTGCCTGTAGTGGGAGCAGGGCTGCTTTCGCACAACTCCAGAGGGCGCCACCCCCATCCAAGTTCCCACATCACAGGTGCTTCACTTCTGGGTGTACTTATCATGTAGCCACTTTGCCAGTATGGATTCCTACCAATAGATGAGCCTGGTGGATAGACTGACCACATCCCAGTTGACCCGGCAGCTAGAACTGGTGGGGCCCTAACCACACACACACACACACACACACACACACACACACACACACACACACCCTGCTTGTTCCCGTGGGACCTATGGCAGCCTGCAATTTAAAGTCATGAGCTCTCACTCTAGGCCACCTGCCCCTCCCTGTTCAGGCAGCTCCGGTCCGGAGCCACCCGTTCCCAGGGCCTCTGCCTGGCAAGCCGCCCCAGTCGGGTTTGGGAAGTTAAACCAGATCTTAGGGTGGGAGCGTGGTTCTGGGAACCCCAAAACTCAGCCTGGGAACCCCTGAAGGCCAGCCAGCTTGCTTTGGAAACTGCTCGTGGGTAGTGGAGGTGGCCTGAGGACCCAGTGGGCAGGGATGTGGGGAGAGGGTGGAGTGGTGGCAGGAGGCAGAGACCAAAGTGTTCCCAGGACTCGTGTGGCTTTTTTACTTGAAAAACAACAAACAGCATGGTCAAAATAGCAAGAATATAAATGCACCTGGCTGATGACAAAGGCTGTGAAAAGGTTCCACAGCTCTGGGCTTCCAGTAGGATTTGGATTGTTTTGCTAGAGGGGGAGTTAAAAACTCGGTGGGGAGTCTCCTTGCAAATGAAACTGATTGGGGGTGGGGCATGGAAATAACAACACAATGCAGGCAGGGCTCAAAGCAGCTTTTAGAAATCTGTTCTCTGCAAACGCACTGAGCTACAAATACAGTGCAATTCTGAAGATGAGCTCACTGAAACCAATCGTTTGAATCACCTGAAGACCTCGTGAAACAGTCTCCCCCATCCTGAGTGGGTTGGATGTGTTTGGGGCTTCAGGTAGGAAAGCTTTCCAGGCCATCCTGATGCTCATCTTCTAGCTGGCATTTTTGCTGAACTCTTCGAAAAAGAAGGTTCCAGAATGAATGCCAAGTTGGCTCCCTCAGTTACCCAAGGGCCTCCATGTGGGGGTGCCTGGGAGGGCTGACAGCTGGGGAGACTGGCCCCGCATGTGGGAATGGTGGAGTCAGACAGGGCCATTTCCTTCCAGGGGATAGGACAGGGGCAGGGGGGACTCTGCAGCACTATTGCCTTGACAACCATCCGTGCCCAGAGGTGAGTCTGGAGACTCAAGCTTCTCAGCAGCGCAAAGCGTCAGGTGGATTGTCCCGGAGACCCAGCCCGGCTTAGGACCTCCTCTTTTTGCCTCCAGACCGGTCTGCTCTGCTCCCTAACCCCCTCCCAGGAGGGGACCTATCAGCTCTGGAGTCAGCCTTCAGCCAGCTTAATAGGGCCCCTCCACCATCCTAGGTTCCAAACCTCCCCCTAGAAGGAAAACAGCCTCCTCCCTCTAGGGAATCCCTGAAGCGTGGATTCAGCAGCTCTGTTTCCCAAAGCTAGATTGGGCCCAGGTGGGAGAAGGGAGGAGGCTTGTTCCGGAGGAAAAGGGTGCTGGGCCAGAGCCCATTCACAGTACCCTGGAAGCATGACATGTCTTTGAAACCCTGTGGGCTGTTTTATTTTAATTTGAGAAGTGTAATTTTTGTCTTTCTTTCTTTCTTTCTTTCTTTCTTTCTTTCTTTCTTTCTTTCTTTCTTTCTTTCTTTCTTTCTTTCTTTCTTTCTTTCTTTCTTTCTTTCTTTCTTTCTTTCTTTCTTTCTTTCTTTCTTTCTTTCTTTCTTTCATTCTGTCTTTCGTTTATTTGAAAGGCAATGTTACAGAGCGGTAAAGACAGAGTTTGCAGTTGCTGGTCCACTCCCAGAATGGTTGCAATAGCCTGAGCTGGTTGAGACTGAAACCAGGAGCCTGGAGTTTCTTCCAGATCTCCCACAAGGGTACAGGGGCCCAAACACTT